AGAAAGTTCGGTGTACATCTTTCTGGTCACGCAACCTGACAAAATGTTTTCTTAAGGTATTTAACAGCTCTGCGGTTATATAAATGCAGTATAAACGCGTTGTAACGCTTAGCTTTTTGATGTAATCACATCACTTAGTCATCGTTTTTGACTCCTTCCATTGAACACGTGTTGTCTCGACGTATTCTACCGACTATCGAAATCGTATCGAGTGACAGTTGGTATGCAACTTGAACGGATTGCAAGTTATAAATAAAAGCTTTTAAAATCTGAGATACAAATTAATTCACATTATATAAGTTATTATGTAAGTAATATTTAACTGTGGTATATATACATGTGTGTATGTGTATATGGTTATAAATATTGAGTCAAGAGCCTTTATGATTTTAGTGAATATATATATATATATATATATATATATATATATTTACATTATCAGAATTATATCGAATACGTGAGACTTCAAGCACATTGAAAAGTGACTTTTTGTGTATATGTTTGCATATTACTTGCATTTTTATCATGTAAGCCAAAAAAAGAAGCCATTTAAAATAATAATCAGAGAAATTACAATTAGCAATCGAGCACGTAAATCCGGTTAAGAAACAGTGTCTTATTATAATTTTAAAATTTAATCCGCGTCTAATGAAGGAGGAAAAATAATATCGTCATTTAAAATAGATTATTTTTATAGTCTATGCTTCGACAATTTTTATTTTTATTTGTGATGTAAATTTTTTTCATGTAATAATGATTATAAATTTTTATTAAGATCTTTCTGCTCAAAACAGGTTTTCGTATGATATTAACAATTTATTTCTCCACCTTTGATGAGATATTTTAAATTCTAAATTCTCATAATTATAACAAATAGGCTTCTTGGGTCTTCTCACATTTTCTGTGAAGAATAAATAAAAAATAAATAAAGTAACCTGTTTAGCTATCAGTTTTTCGTTGCATACAGATAAAAAATTATTCGTTTCACTGAAAAATTTTGTTCTTCAATGAATTAACGTTTCAGATTGGATTGCATCCAAGGCTTACATAAATCTCATTTGTAATCTGTCGCGTAGCAATTTTTTGTTGTCACGTAGAATAAACGCAATACGCAGTTATACATCGTTGAACGCAGATAATTCGATCAACAGAAGAGAATGCATTAATAGCAAAATCGAATTTCGAGAGAGTTTAGTAAATAGAATTTGTTTTCCCTTTTATTTTCATAGACGGATATTAAAGTTATATGATTTGCTCAGTTGGCAATCAATCGAATAATTCTGTTGCAAGATGCATGAACGGGATCCGACTGCGAGACGAGTCATCGCGCGTTAGACACGATTGTGTGGAAAGTGAAATTCTCGAATCATCATATCGATCACATTCTCCACAAGACTACTTGGCTTGTGATCTATGTCTTTCCTGGAGAAATTCATGAATCTAAAAAATCTCTTACTGTGATATATATCAAATTCATTCATGTACTGTAAAATATTACGGATATATTAGATTTTTTATAGAAAGCATTTTTATTTTTATCATTTCCACTTGATTGAATTAATTATTCAGTGATTCAATTTTGGCAATAAATAATTTTTGTGCAGTAGCACAATTTAATTATTTTATTTTATTATTTATAAAAGTGCTCGTGGTTGTTTTTTGTTTAACGTACGTGCGCGAAATTGCTTTTAACATGTTAAAATGCCAAGGGAAGCGATCATTTCTGACACGTCGTTGCAGTTTGCATGCTAAAATGATCGGTTTGTATGTTACTAATTTTGCATACACGGCTAATTCGTACCGTTCGTGCATTCGAGCGAGAAAAACCATTGTATTCCCATTCATTTGATACAAACGACACGTCACGACAGCTATTTTTCGTCATGGGTCTACTCGTTCTTTTTTCCTCTCACAATGACGTTAAGTATCAGACTTAACGTTTAACTTCCAGTACTTCGCAGCCACTTTGGCACCTTCTTTGAGGTGTGCCGTGAGGCAAAGAGGAGCGAGATTACACCTTGCATGACTAGTCGTTCGGCAAATGACACTCGTTTTATGCATGCATTCCACCCGACATATCTCTCAAAGGTCTGGGGTGCGCATAATAAAGTTGAACGAGGAATTTTAAATATTTTTATACGCATATAAATTGTGCATTTCATCGCAGACAAACAATTAGCTTTCCTTATCTTAAAGTAAGAGGCACTCGTGCCAACAGGTTTTTAGGAAATCGTTACGTTATCATGTAATGCTTGATATCACGATCTTTTAATTCAACAGGCGATTTATCTTTTTCGATCGATTAATTTTATGAGATAGGTGTAGGTGCGCTTGTCAAGACGTGTTAAGATCGTTATCTAACTGTTATTCTAAGACATTTTGTTTATTCATTAGCGGTTTTGCAATTTAAAAATATTTAGCGTGATGCTTGCGCAAATCACGTATGCACGATACGATGCAGAAAACGGGCGAAGTCATAAATCATCGGACTCTACGATTAATTCTCGATCTTCGTTGTATGGCAGAAGTTAAATGTGGGACGAGATGATCAGTTGAGAGGCATAAATTGAGATTTAAAAAAAAAAAAGCATCGAACACACAAAGTGTCCGGGGAATTTTATTCCGGAAAATTTATGAACAGTCAGATCAGATAATGTTGACATGTCAAACTTTTATTTCTACGGTACGGCATCCGAGAAATCAATTGTGATAAAGTCTAATTGAAACTTTAAAGCGGCATAAAGGGCACGTTATACAATTTTCGTAAGACATTGAAATTTTCTCCGATCGTAAATTACGGACTTCTTATGGATAGAAATTTGCGTCAGACGAAACAAGGTCCGTGATATTATAGCGGACTTTTGCGGTGTTACATCTCGCGCATACTTCATTCGCACGCGCGTAATCGCACAAGTGAAGTCGTAAACATTAAAATGACGAGAATTATGGAACTTGCGCATAAGAAGATTAATGGCTCGCAGATGGCTGTTCACCGCCTTGTTGAGATCTCTCGTGCAGCTCGCGACGCTGGAAGTACGTAGATTGTTCTCTTGCGACAGCCCCGCACCCGCAAACTGCACTTCATTCTTTCGACCTTAACGTCGAACCTGTTATGAGGCTAACGCACGAGCGCTCGTAAACTGTAAACGAAGCTCGAAATTAAATCAGTAATCGAAAGGAAGGAAAACACTCGATTCGCGTTGCAGAAGAGAGAGAGAGAGAGAGAGAGAAATAAAGAAGAGAATTTTTTATTTATTTTTTTATTTATTTTTTTTATTTATTTTTTGTTCATCGAAATTAAAATTTTTTGGAAAATGTCCGTCGTTTTGCATTTTTATGATACGCATACGCGATGAGGTCGATCTATCTCGTTCGCTTCGAGCGAAAGTTTATCCGGTGACATATAAGTGAAACTGAATCTTTTACCATAAATAAATCAACGGTTCGTGTTTTTTTTTGGCTGCTATTGCACAGACTTCGGTAAAAGTCTCGTCATTAAGTACGCGACGTTATTGTAATTAGCAGCCACGTATTAAGCACAAACTTGGCGTCGTGAACCTAAACGAAGGAACAAGTCGAACCGCCTGATTACCGTTTTTAGTTACGGAACACCGCGTATCGTAGTCTGTCGAACGTGAAATGAAACCGAAAGATATCTACAGCTCGCGAAAATGATATCACTATGCGGCTAAGCAGCTTGGCAGAACCGGAATAGTCAAGTGTATATAGGGTGTCCCGAAAATATCGCGACTTTTAACGCTTTAGAAAGATTTTATAATAATCCTGAATTTTTTCCCCTCTTAAAGAGACGTTGAAATAAACTTCCGTATCAGAGAAATTGTGTAATTATCCGTGACGCGCTATTGTTAGCTTGCATCTTCCTTTAAACGCAGATAAAGTTTTCTGTCTCAGGGAACTGTTCTCACGCGTAGTAATTATTACACGGTTAATGTGGAAAATCAGCGTAGCTCGCGAGCTTTATTCGAGATTTTTTTATTTACCACATTATTTTCCATAGTTACTTCAAGTGTGAACTGTATATACATATATGCATATGGGAATTATATTGTTCTTCTCGTTTTCCAGCTGACAGCGAAATTATAGGGAACACTGTTTTTATATTACATAAAACCGGAATGGGCGTCAAGCTTATTAAATATTCGCGGTGAACGGTATATAGTAATATATACACCTTGCCCATGAACCTAATGCATTCGATGCCTTTTACCAGAATACCTCGATTATATTAAGACCGCATCGCGCCTGTTAAGGCTCGTGTGTTGAACTTGTTATTCTCTTGATTGAGGCACGGCCATAATTTTGAATAATAAAAGATACATCTCGAGCTCTCTGAACTCACGCGTTATAAATCATCCGGACGGACAGTGTGTGACTTAAAAGAGATCTAACGTTGACAGGAGCACGACACTTGTCGTATTTTTACCAGGCGGAAGTTGTTCGTAATGAATAGAGGAGATCGACTTTACTACGTTCAATGATTATTCTACGATGAAAAGAAAAATATCGATAGACACATGCATAATTAATGAATAAATAAAAGTTTTCGCTTTCGAGATTCAAGCTATTCACCGAGTAAGCGAGCTCGACTCATTAGCTTGTTAGTTCGTTCTGATCGTTTCACCGGATCTCGGCGTGATTCTCAGTTAGTGCTCGCGGTTCCCTTTGTGCCGCGACGCGTTTCCCGCCAAACCAGGAGATATTCGTCGCGCAACCGTGAAAGTGCCTCCGGGTTCCGCGAGGTTGAATCTCCGATGGAGGGAGATCGAAACGTGGATGCGCAGCAGCCGTCTGTATAGCGGAAGGAACGATAAAATAGAAAGCCACTGACGAAATAACGGGGAGAGGGAAGGGGGGATATGCGTGATTTCCGCCTTCAACAGCCTTCTCCCTTACACCCTCCCATCGACATCTTGTAAATCGCCGGCGAGGTAAGACGTTACATCGTCGATTATTCGAGACTGACCGCGTAACGAACTTACGTTTCTAACGAAATCCTCGCGGCCGTTGTTGGAAGCCTCCTCCACGTTGATACGAATTGCCGACATGCTACGTGGCGTCGATCCTTCGCGAAATCGTTCCGACAGCTCTCTCTTCTAGATTGTCGTTGAAAATCGATGCCTCTTGAATCTTCAAGGGATATTATCCGGGAGATACCTGGTTCTTACGAGATCACCACTCCTTGTCGCGGCGGCTGGTGACCTTTCCGTGTATTAATTCACGAATTCCACAAGAAACTCACTGTCGATCACCCTCGAGAAACTAATCGCGATCGGGCTGTTTCTCACGCGGATGCTCCGTGCGCGACTATCGGCGTGTCTAATTCGAAATTCTTCTTTAAGAGGGAAAGGTCGACGCGCTAAGCGCGTATCTTAGGATATATCGTGTCCTCCAAGACAGATAGAGTCGAGCCGGAGCTCACCGTCCTTTCTTTCCCTTCGGATCGGGACAGTGCCTCGTCGTCTCAACTTAATCTCTCCTGGGACATACGCGACGCACGAACTCGCTCTCGAGCCTTTCGCGAAAATCCTGCACGGACTCACCACCGAGGGACGACCGGCAATGCGCTGGTCAGTGTCGCATGAGTGTAAAATAAGCGCGCTTCGCACCTTGCGTGCGCCTACGCGCCTGTTAATTTTTCAGGAGTACCGCACGCCGAGCACCGTGATCGTCTCTCTCGCACACGTGCGACTAGAGCCGTCGCCGCATCTGGCCTTTGGACTGGCTGGTACCAGTCTACCAGATCGGTTTTATACCTTCGTATCTCCCACTCTCGCGAGCGTGCGAGCGCGCTCGTGCTCGCTCCCTCGTTCGCTCGGCACGTCGATTCTGCACACGAGCAGCTCCACCACGGTCGAGAGAATCGATCTTTTTTTCTTCCTCTCCGGACATACGTGGTATACGCACGAACACACGCGGCGCCGGAATCCAGGCGGTCGCGCCTTTTCCTCGCGAGGGGCTATACTCGGGTGCTCCGAGACGCGAGAACGAAGGAGGAACCGAGAGAAGGCGACTTGTCCGCGCCCTGAGTCCGGTTAACGTGGGATGTCGATCGATCGGTCTTGTTTCTCTATGTCGCGGATACAGGAAACGCGAAGAGCGAACGCGTTATCTCCTGGTCGCGTAACGGAACCGAGGAAGTGTGGGTTTACTCTTATCTCTCGAATTCCGCGTCTAACCGCAACACACCCCAGAGACTTTTACGTCTTACATACGTCTTACTTGTGTCGGATATAAACAGAAAAATATATATGTTAGTCTCATACTTATTTTGTTCTTTGATAGTTTTTAATATGAATACTACCGCAATCTTCCGTAACGTTTGTTCTTTCTGTTGTGCAGATTCAATATCGAATTATGACGAAGCGAAATAATGATCTCTCGTTTCTGTAATTCAATCATTTATTCATATTAAAGTATAATAAGGAAATGTCAATTGATTTTTACGCGATCAATTTTCAAGAAAAGATGTAATAAAATCGTCGATGAGAAAAATTAATATTAAATGATTTTGCATTATTGTCGAATTAAACATTCACACTTGCTACCACGAAGTATCTTGTACTTTAGTACGTAATAAAAAATGAAAAAATCTGCTTTTTTATTTCTGAGATGAAATATATCTATAGTTTTATATTTTGCAACTCAGACCGTCCTTCGGGTGTGTGTGGTCGTAAGCATGACCGGAAGCGGGTTTGTTTTATTGTATGTTTTACCTTATTCTGGTTTGCCTTATTTTTGTCGTCTGAATCTGTCTCGTTTTATGATCGATTCGCGTATCATTTGTCGTCGGACTGCGTGTATGAATGTACTCGCAATTTTCGACATGAACAACAAAATATCAAAGAGAAATTTCGTATCTTTCCTGTCATAAACTTTTTTCTGTGTAAGTAAGTGTAAATCAAAAAAAGCCACGAAATCGTAAGCTAGTCATTGATTTAATTTTCTCTTTGTCGCATACATGAGTGCTTGAAAAAGGCGCTCGTGTATATAATGTGAAAGCATTTCCGCACAATCGGAAACAATCATGCGCTCGATTTTATGCAACGTCAAAGACGCGTCGAAGCATGCGAATCTGCGCGCTTTTTGCTCGATCGAATTCATAAAATGAAAAACCACGAAGCGACTACCGTTGATCAAATATTATTGAATATTGTGTAACATTCGGCGCGAATATTCGACGTTGGCGTGGAATTATTATCACATAAATTCTGCGACAATCATAACGTAATCTTCTCCGGCAAAATTTATTTTCGGAAAATCCAAGTCGCGAGGTGACAAAAATCATCCCGTGAAATATATTTATTATGAAAAATATATTTATTATGAAAAATCTCGGCGATATCAATGATGTTTGAGAAATCGAGGCGACCAGGTGCAGAAGCCACAGCTGTAAATTATGCGGGTATTATATGTAACGGTGGCTAACGTGACTGCCGAACTATCGCTTCACTCGAAACTTAACGTAATCGCGACGAAACAGTGGGTCCTTATGCAATATTTATCGCCCCAGGTACCAGCGACTCATTTCGTAACCTTGAATTTCACCGATCAAAGGTAGCATCATCGACGTCCAGCAGATCCGCGAGTAAAATCGTCACGCTTTGATCGGTTCTAAGAAATTTCCTGATGTATTCTATCCTCGATCGAATCGACTGACTCACGCGATCCATCGCTCGCCGATCAGCGAGGACAAGGTGCGCTTTGATACATGTCCCGCAAATTAGGCCTAATCACTATGTTCAGTTCTCCGATCAAATTGAATATTCCGCTCAGGAGCGCTCTATTTCAAGGACTTTCCGCGCCCGGAACTACTTCCTTCCTACCCCTTCCTACTTTTTCTTTCCCGCGTTGTTCGGCTCGCGAGAGACATCTACGAGGTCATGATCTCACGCAATGATCTCGATCGTCGAGAGTCAAGTGCACCGCCCCTTCTCGGCTGACCTCCGGTCGCTCGCTCGGCCCCAAGGCGAAAAGTTACGTGACTTTTACAGCCCGATCTTTCGCAGGTCGGCATCACGGACGTCTCGCGAAATTCTCTATTCAAACAGATCGTAACACGTGGCTTTTCTCCCGTATAAGGTCGATTTTGATCATTTGTTAGGAGTCCGACTTCCTTACGTCGTCAATTAATTTTGGATTTTTTCTCTTTTTGCAATAAAGAGAAACGGCGCTGCGGATATTCTCTCAATATTAGGCAACAACGGATGCGAATCAACGGACTGTGGTCGCGAGATTAAGAGCGGATTTATCGATAAAATATTAATTAAGAAAAATTTTCTTGCGAGTCGATTTATAAATATTTATAGATGGCAAAATCCTTTTTTCAGATAACTCTGACGAAACGATTATTTACCTATCCGATAACTTTAAATCATTATTACATGAAAAATTCAGAATTTCTCTAATCATTTGTTAGAGAGAAAGTTTAACAATTATTAATGTTTCGAGGTATTTTTATATTAAAAAAAAATAATTTAATTGTCCAAAACCTTCATACATGAAAGGAAGTGCAGCGAAACAGGGACATTCTACATATTTACAATCCTGACTGCTGTACAATTAGTCAACCCTATGGTTGTGTATGTTGAGTGTCTGCTTGCTACTTATTTTCTTAAGTATATACTAGAAGACAAAGTATCATACCGCCGTGTCAACGACAAAGATACCCGCGAGCCGATTAAAGTTATTAGCCGTATTTTGCAAGCGGGCATTAATCGTCGCCGGCGAATCATGAGATCGTCATTGACTCGTCGGGAAAAAAACCGAGTACATACATCCTCGTGTGCAATTTGGTTTCCATTAACGACAATTGTGCGACTCGATTGAAATCTAAATGTGACTGTGCGAATTAACGCGCGCGAAAAACGCATCTACACTCTCGCGCTCGTATCGATCACGACAGATTGCGTGCCGAACGACTCCTCTTGATCTTCCATCGTGCGATTTTTTCTCGGTAGAAAGTATTTTACAAGCTGGAACTAATGAAATTTGCCTCGATCAAGCTTCTCGATATTTTATTCTCCGAGTTGCAACGTAGGCAATGCCACTATATTTCGCAATTATGTATTACCATAATTATACCTTTAGTTGAAAAAAAAAAACGTTGATTATCTTTAATATGTATGTAATAAAAATTTCTTATAAAAGGATGAAGTACCCTCACATTTTTTGCGACGGGATTTGTACACGGAAGAGTTAATATTTCATTTTTTTCGAAAGTCGACACACGCCTCCGAGATTTTTTCTGGACTCGAAGCACTCTGCTCTACTCGGAGTCTTCTACTCTTTGTCTCGCGAATCTATCCGGTTGGTTTCGGTGCAAGGTCGCACTTTCGACAGCTTCCTGATCCACGTCGCGCGCACCACCGCCGGGAGGAATGCGAAAAAGCACGTGCGTTTAATGATACATCGATCTTTTTCGATTGCGTGCAAGGTCGAAAGGGATTGGCTACCTTGCTCTTCCACGTCGCGCTACCTGTACGCCGTTTTCATTCTATCTTGATGTATTTCGACCGCCCACTTCACGTCGTTGCAAACCTTCGAGAAATTAATTACACGTCTCTCTCTTTGCCGCGTACATTATTTCTCTTCCTGGCTTGCCCAAGAGTCTATGCAGGTCGATTGTTGATTGCTATGATGCTTGAAGCACGTACGCGTGTATGTCTCTTTTACGATGTCACGATGGATGTGTCTGCGTCACTTGCGAGATACGTCTTTCCCGAGATGGGAGCTCGCCAAAGGTTCTCGAGAGTGAATGCGAAGTACCCGCGAAGTCGGCGCGAGAAAACTTGGTGTCTTTTATTAAGTATCTTTTATGATTTTTATTTCCTCTTACTCTTAACCAATAACTTGCTATACCTGCGACTTGCTTAATCCCATACACTAACATTTGTCCGCATTTGTTTGCATGGTTCGGTAAATTTCACGATGATAAATGTAAATTTATTTGTAGATTCTATTTGATCGATGCGAGCGCCGCAAAGTTCCCATGGTAACGTATGGAATATTCAAATGATTGTCAAATATTTATTCGCACCATCGATCACGTACAGATACATTGTTCTCGTAACCGCAAAATA